GGATTCTCAGTAGATAGTAGAGCCTCCACCATCTTTCAGCAGGGACAGTTGGCTTCACTTCTGTTGGAAACAGAGTGAAGCAGCTGCTGCTCAGAATGATGAAACTCCCACTGTGAGCAGCAGTGTCAGCCCCACTGAGATCTGCCTTGCTGCGATGTTGTGGGAAAGGAAAAATGTTTGCCTGAACATCATTTAAAGCTAATCTGACAACACAAACATTCAGAGACTTTCATTATTGAATGGGCTCATTACAGCAAAAGGAGAAGGTAGCGTTAAACCATTTGGGTATGTAGTACATGTGTCATTACTTAGTATACAGGAGATAGCAATATATGCTGTATCAAATCAGTAGGCAAAGGAGGCAAGTGCAGCACATGGCCTCTGCTGAAGGTAATGACATGATTATGACAAGGCTGATGTAAATTTTGGCAATGCAATATTGCATGTCGCTTCATCCTTTTCTACTAAGAACGTGAAAGTACTTGATGGCTTCAGTGTATTAAGATTCACCTTCTGTTCAAGATGGGAAAGCATTTTCAGGCTAGATTCAGTTCTTTTTGACAGCTGAGAAGATTGGGAGATTTGTTTTTGTTTGCTTTGATGGATTTAATCTCAGAGATCTGTTACACTGTTAGAATTATCAAGAAAGGATAGTCCAACCAGTGTAATGACAATACAACTTGAAACTTGATAATACCACTTGAAACTGTAAACTAATCATCCTGATAGAGTTAGAAAATGTTTGTTCCATCCCCGTGTAAAGCTCTACACACTTGGTTGATAGAAGGTTTGGTCACCTTTCTCAGAATCAATGTTTTGACTACTATTTGGGGAGCATACTGGATGTGACAGACGAATAGTCTGATGTGGTTCAGCAAATGCCATATACAAACGCTCAGAGAGAATGCCTCTAGTGTCCTGGCTTTATGCACTATACACTTCCACATGAAAAACAGTTACCAGGGCACGATTATGCACAGAGACAATTATAGAAGTTGTTTCACATCCCTGTTTAGATTGCAGGGTTATGGAGTGCTTCTCCGGTGCCAGAACTCAGCTGTATTTTGGAGTGCCTATGACCTGGAAACATGATGTTATTAATGTAGCTAGATTTTAAAAATAAAAAAGGAATGCCAGAGCTCTGGGGGTTTAAGTTTGTACTGTCAGTGTTACTGGTGGATTTTTCATGATGAGATAATAAAAAAAAAAATAAATAGGGAAAGGAAAAACTAGAGAACACAAGGCATAGAGTGCCTCGGGGAAAAAATAGCATGTTATTAGTACTTTACACTGCTCCGAAAAGATAAAGCCACATGTAAAAAAAGATTAGAGTTGGGGAGAGAGAGGAAGGATGGATCTTGGGAGTTCCAAGAGAGGTAAAAAAGAATTTCATCATGTATTGGCGCATAATGTTCATTTAGGCATTAGAGTAATTTTCTTTCACCTCATAATATTTTGCAGTACCTCTGTCTGATCTTAGTGCCAGGATAATGTGTCCATTCTTAGCAAGCTTATTCTTCAAAGGTTAGTCTCCTCTGCTTAGATGTTATTTAAATGGTACTTTAGCATGGTTCTCTAATTAGCAGAACAATTAAAAAAAGTTATGGCTATGGGAAGAACTCAGATCCTTCCAGGATAATTTTTTTTCATTCCCATATATCTGAAATCCTTCTAGAAACAGTGTTTACAGCAACTATACTTCAGAGACAGCATTCTGGGCTAAAGCAAAAGAAAAGAAGATGCCCTTCCTTTCTCCCAGATTACCCAGCTGGGTTGAGTTAAATATCCCTGGGACAGTAGTGATCAAACATTGAAGCATTTGAGTACAACATCAGCCCACTAGAATGGTTGTATCATGGGATTCAGTTTGTGTTTTGAACCATGAAGACTATAGTACGTACGTTTGTTAGCCTAGCTGATGTGACTACCAATTCTACTTGTGTTTGTGCAAGTCTCTCTCCCCCATTTAAAAAAAGTGCTCATTTAAAATAGTATTTAAAATTAAATTATCACTATAAAATGCAGAAACAAGACAGCCTTGTTTGGTGATGAAGAAAGATTAGGAATCCAGTTTCCAAGCCCAGATCATCTAAAGTTTTGCTGTGCATCCCTGGGCAAGTCACTTCACCTCTCTGTACTGTAGGATGCATTGAAAAAGTGCAGTGCAGCCATACATGGAGATATTTAAATGGAATGGGGTACCAAAATCCATAAAACCTCCTCATCAGGGGACCAATTCATTTTCGCAGATTGTCAAGTTAGTTCGGCTGGTACACCTTTAGTGCTTCTGTCATCTCAATGTCACCACACTCATGTACCTGGGCCTGATTACAGTTATAAAGTGAGAGCATTCACACTCACCTGTCTTAAAAGCAAATGGGCAAAATGCCCATCAATAGGCAAAAATGTCTGTAGACGTTAAGATGAAAGGCTTGTGCAGGAAAGACAGTTACTGCCATATAAACCCTGATGGTAATATACTTCCTTTCCTGCTGCCCAAATGTGCAAAGAATGGTGGGAAACGAAGATGAAAAGACTAAGAAGACTCCTTCAATGGAGTTGCAAAATAAAGATTTTTGAAAGATATCACAGGATTTATGGATAAAATTTGTGCTGACTGGAATATGGTTGGTAGTCAGCCCTGAGCTTTAGATCAAGTGTGTGACAATCATTATATTGAATATGTATGTGGCACTTAGGGACATGGTTTAGCGGTGAACATGGCAGTGCTGGCTTAATGGTTGGACTCAATGATTTTAGAGGTCTTTTCTAACCTTAATGATTCTATGATTCTATATAGTCATTTGAGGAACCGAAAGAAGATAGAATTGTTATGTTCTTCTTAAACCAAAAGCAGACTCTGGAGAGAAGGGAGAAAGGTAGTGGAAGTCGGGGCCTTATTATATTGTAAAAAGATAAAGAAACTAAAATGAGCCCCAAAGACACAGACATATCAACTGTTGGTAGCAATATTTCCTTACTTGTCAAACATATGGCATTTTATCCGCCCCAGTAGGTAGGTTCTTCTAACTAATATCAGAGACTGAACTTGCCAGTGAGTATATTTTAAGGTGTATATGTATATACATATATCTTACAGCTCCACTAAGAGGAGAATTTCAAGTGAAAATACTGTTAGGGAAAGAAACGTAGGGAAGAGAATGAAGACCATTTTCATTATGTCAGACCGTAAAAATAAACCAGAAGAGATTGCCTACAGCAGTAGTTCCAGATTTGTAGCTTAATAGCAGCCTCTTGCCTGCCAAACTTTTAGATATTGCTTGTGGCTAAAGAGAGCTGCTGTCAAGCTGCAAGTTGATGGGGAGAGCAAAGTATAACATTGTGCAGAGGACATTACAACCTCACTGCTGTTGCCCTTGAATCAGCAAAAATGGAGGGCACTGGCGTATGGTTACAAGAGTAGAATATAATCCTGAGGAAAAAAACAGAAATTCCATGTGAACAGGTAAAGGAAGACAAACATGAAGAGAAAGGTAATGGCTATAACTTATAAAAACCAGACAAGCTTGCACACACGCTACACCTTATGGAAACTAATGCAAGAAGGTGTAAGAGATCAGGACAAAAAACTAACTTGAGCAGCAGAGCCCTGGCTTTATGGAAGTTGCCTGTTTTGCCCAGGCAGATCCTTCAGTCTTAGTTTAGGAGATGTGTGCAGAAGGGAGCGGTAGAGATGAAAGCAACTCCAAAATCCAGACAACAAACTATGCTAAGTTTAGATGTGTACATTTGACATTGCATCTCCATCCATCTTCAGGTTATTCTGCTTTCTTGATAAAAATGGGAATGACACACCCTGCTATTTTGTGCTTAATCTCTTATCCATGGGATTGTCAAGCTAGAATGTAAGAAAGAAGTAGAAGTAAATGTCACTAAATAGGAAAGTAAAGAGAATTGCTTCACTGCAACATTTTTTCACTGAGCTGCTACTAAGGAAACATGGTTTCTCCATATCTGTTCCACAACTCATTTCGCCATCACATCATAGCCAGATTTTACATCCTATTCAGAAACCTGTGAGAAGAGGCTAAAGCATGGGCCTCTCTCTCTTCTGCTTTCAAGTGGATGGCTGCATCACCTACAATCTTCCACACCAAAACATAACTGATGGGTAACTCTTCCTTATTCCAAAACCCAGCTCCTCCTGTCATGCCTATGTACTAAAAGCTCAGTAATTACAAAACCTTTTTTCACCAGGCAATTATAAAAGGGACAGATTATCCCACTGCTGTTGAAGAGAGTTTAGATTATTGTTTTTTCTAAGAAAATTTTGTACTGATAGGATGCTACTGTGCCTTATAGAGTGATGTCCTTTTGTTCGTACAAGACAACTATTATGAACTTTATGTACACAAACACACATGAAACACACACAAGACCTTTCTATACAGCTCTATAGCACTCCAGTCTAAAGAAATGTCTCATAACAATATTGCATATTAGGCTTACAGTGCATCAAAAAGCTTTACAAGGACATTAAAAAGCAATTGAGGAGAAATTACATTCATGCCTGACCCCTTAAGAAACCACCACATTCCACAGAAGACACCAAAAGGAGGGTCAATAATGCCAGATCTTCAGTTGCCAGAAGCATTTTTCTTTCTAAGCATCTTGCCCCTCTTGGTATGATCACAATGGGTGTCTCAGAGACACAATAGTCTGATCTCTGCCAGAGCAACCTTAAAGTTTCTGGGAAATCTGGATATCTCTTGTGCTCCTCACTAATAAAAAGAAATTTCTCCATTCATTATTTTCTTTGTTCTGTTCCAATAAATACACTCCTCCTGAGCACAGTCCTGATCCCCCACTGACAAGGCAAAAAACCTGATGCACCTGCGGTGGAAAACACAGTGAATCTCAAGCCTTGCAGCTAAGACCTTATTTGTTTAACTCCACAGAAAATGTGATACTAATTTACTCAACATATCTACCCTTAAAACTTCATAGTGAAAGAAGCAAGCAGCCAAGCAGATCTGTACCTTTGAGGCAGGTGGTTGCACTTTCCTGTTTCAGGTTCTGTGATGAGACAAAGCGGTGGGGGAATGGCACAAGTCTCATAATAACCTGTCTTCAGCACAAATGCTTAGCAAGGGCCAGAGTCTGTGGAGCCATGTGGGACACACAAGTCTTCACCCCAGCAACTCAGCCTCTCCCTCCTGAAGCACAGCCAATCAAGCCAGTAGGGTGCAAACCACAAACCACACAGGAAGTCACAGGCATGGCAGCTCACCAAGCCTGTGAGTGGCTCATCAGCTTAGAGTGGTTTTATTCTTTGACTGTGAGGGAAACTGCTCTAGAGCAGTTTCTCTGAATGCTACAGCTGTGCTGGGGCACCTCGTAACTTGCTGAATGCTGAGTTATTTAATATATCTGTCTGGAAAACACTGGCCCCTTTGGACAGAAGTAGTGATCCCCAAGAGCAAGCCACCAAAGGTCTCCTAAAATGCACCCTCTTTTCTGTTATGGGGGGACAGTGGTGGCCATAAGCTATCAGCATCTGAATTCGTGAAGCACCTCTCCTGCTACACACCCTGTTTGATGCGACAGAATCTACGGGTGTATATGCACGGGGCACCCACATGTGAAGACGCACTTGGATCTCTGTAAGCAAACACAGGCGAATGCAACAATCATCTTGTGCCTGTGTAGGCACAGACCAAGAGAGAGTTGATATATTGAGTGTCCAGGATTTCATCAGACTGAGCGATTAGTGTGAACCAGGGGGCTGTCTTCAAGCTGTGAGAAAAAGAGTTATGAAAATCTGATTCTTACAAGAACACAGAAAAGGCACATTTTCCTATTTAGTTGTTGTATCAGTTGGGTTGCTAGCAGGGTTGTATTGCAGTGGCCTGGACAAGAGTGACTTTGGTCTGCCCAGAAGACTGATGATTTGTCTGGGCTGTCAGATGGTAAAATCTATGGTAGTATCTTATGGATATAAGAACAGAACTTCTCCTCAGGGGAGCAATGGCTGAAGAGACACTGCTGGGCTACCACACTAACCTGCTCCCCCCCACGCCACTACAGAAACTGCAAGGGGTCTCCCATTCCTCACAGCAGGGGCTGGAAGCTAGGGAGGGGAGGGGCCTGATGCGTGATTGACAGCCCCTCTGGATGCAAGCAACCTATGGGGGAGGGGAGGGCTGGTTAAAAGAATTCTGATTGGATTAACAGAGAAAGGGGTGGGGCGCTTGCAGATGATTGGCAGCAGTTTGAAGCCCCGGGGGGGGTGGGGAAGAGGGGAGGGAAGTTTTTCCAAGAATCGCTGCTGTTCGAGGGGATAAGTAGAGGGTGGTCCTGGTGGTGTGAGTCCATCCACTTATGTCAGCCTCATGGTTAACTCCAATCATTAATTACACAGGTGTAAGAGTTACCCCTGCACTACGCTCATCCTGCTGGTGCTTGGCCTCTGGAAGGCTGTTTCCTCCCACCTTCCCTGCCCTCCAGAGCTCCCTTCTCATGCCTAAGGGCTGCCAGGGTCGCTATGGGAGGAGGAGCATGAGTGGTTGGAAAAATGATTGCTACTGGAGAGCAGAAAGCCTCTGGCCATAGGAAACTCAAGCCCTTGCCCTGGCCCATGGGCTGCCAGGTGCGGTGCCTGTGGCTGCTAACATGAGGCATTTCAGAGAAAGTAAAAAGGAGTTGACATCAAGTTAAATTTCTCCCTGCAGCCACCACTCTAGGACCACTTAAAATCATAGCCTAAAAACATCATCTAAATTCTGTTGGGGAGCTGTAAGCCGTGAAAGGGCCATTTGCTGCAGCTGAAATAGATTCATAAATTATCAAGTTCTTGAGCCAATGAGATCCACATGCCCCAAGTTCTTGAGGCCACTTTTCTTGACTTTGTACTGTTTCTTTGAGTATGGTTCAGCACCTGGCCAAATGGTCCGTGCTTTTTCCATCCTATTGCTGAAAAGCAGCAGAAAAAAATATTTTAACTCCTAATTATTGTTGACTTTGTAGAACAAGCAGCCAGATTGCTCAGGTTCAATCTGTGTTCTTCAAAAGAGCACAGGTGTTACAAAGAGAAATGGGCAAAATTTTATTGATAACATTGAACTATCTAATATTGAAAAAACTATTCTTACCTGTATCTTTTGTCCAAAAAATTACAAAGAACAATTAAGGTGTTTTATGAATTGCTATTAAATTACTCTTTTGCCATTTTTAATAGTTTAAGTACTTCCAGTAAGAAATGTTCTGATTTTCCATCTAAAAACAGCTCTTTATCTCAAAATCTACTTTGATTTGAGTAAAAAGGTAAAAACACATTAAGCAATATAAAATGTTTTGGGGAAAAGCACAACTTTCCATTTGGCCTAAGATAAAAAATATTTTTTGTTTTGCATTAGGGACATCAACCTTGCAAGCAAACGAAAAATCAGTTATATATGCAGCACTGTAGCATTAATTACATGGAGTTGGCTGAAGAACAGAGACACAGAATGCAAGAATCAAATGCTGATGTCTTGTTTACTAAAACTAAGACCTATACAGTGTTCAGCTTCATTTATATGGCACGATTTGTCTGACATTACCTGACAAACAAAAGCAAAAGACTGGAAATTAATGCATGGCTATATCCAGGTTTCAGGCTTTATAGTCTCAATGGATCAATTTAAATGTTATTTAAGTACAAACATCTACCAAGTTTTATATTTCAGGCTGTTGGTTTTTTTTTTGTTGTTGTGTTTTGTTTTGGTCAGAGGAGGATCTTTTAGGCTAATAACTTGTTTTAATTATGATTCAACTCTTTGACATAATGCCACCAAAATACTGGTATTGTATTGCTATGTCAGTTAGTACATTCTTTTTATACCTCTGGAATATTCCGGAGCTCCTGAAGTGAGGGGAAGGCTATGCCAGCATTATTCATGTTGTTCTTTTTGTATATGTATAGAACTTCAAGCTGTCACTTCTGGACTTCTCACCACTTACTAAAAACAAAGAAAGAGAAGAAAGCATTGCATACCCATCAAAATCCTAGACCTACAAAATACAAACCATGTGGGGACCCAGATAAGGAAAACATAGGTACCAAGTTTTCTGTAAAGCAAGGTATGATTGCAAGAGGATTAGCTAATCAACTTGTAAAACAAAGCAAATCAATGTATGCTGCCATATAACCAATGTCACAGTGCCACTGACAGAGAGAGAGAGAGAAACATACAAAGGGAAAGGAGGAACCTGATGATTGATGTTTTTTAATAGCTTCATTGAAACACATGATAAAATCAGATTCTTTCAGCAGGAGACAGATACAAATGGACTCTATCTGAAGTGCAAACAACAAAAAGATACAGGGAATTTTAAAACATACAGCACCCTCCTCATAAAGATCTCAATTTCTCTCTGTTCCAAGTGTTTGCAACTGTCTCTCCCTGTGAAATCCTAATTAAACCAGTATTTTTCCCATTTAAGTAATTTGAAAATGTGTGTAGTTTGATAAAAAGGTTAATTAGCTCTATTCTTTAAAAAATTGAAAAGGTACCATTTTGATCTTTTGCTTGAAATTCATGCCTATCCTTGCATTAAAAGTATTCCTCAATCTGGACTGTGGTAGCTAGCAGACAGGAGAAACATACTCATAAGGGGGGGACTGTGGGGAGGGGCCTCAGATGGAAAGCAAACATTTATTTTGAGTTTTAATATTTTTGCTTTTTGTTCTCCTAAAGTGTACTACAGATTGTTTTTCTTCTCGAGGCTGGGTGTTTTTCAAGGCTTGAAATCAAACTGATACATGGTGGACGAGGGAAAGGCTGTGGATGTGGTCTATCTGGACTTCAGCAAAGCCTTTGACACTGTCTCCCACAGCATACTCCTGGAAAAGCTGGCAGCCCACGGCTTGGACAGGGGCACTGTCTGCTGGGTCAGGAACTGGCTCGAGGGGCGGGCCCAGAGAGTGCTGGTGAACGGAGCTGCATCCAGTTGGAAGCCGGTCACCAGTGGTGTCCCCCAGGGGTCAGTGCTGGGCCCAGTCCTTTTTAACATCTTTATCGATGATTTAGATGAGGGGATTGAGTCCATCATCAGCAAATTTGCAGATGACACCAAGTTGGGAGGGAGTGTTGACCTGCCGGAAGGCAGGAGGGCTCTGCAGAGGGATCTGGATAGACTGGAGAGATGGGCAAACTCCAATGAAATGAAGTTCAACAAGGCCAAGTGCCGGGTCCTGCACTTTGGCCACAACAACCCCCTGCAGCGCTACAGGCTGGGGACAGAGTGGCTGGAGAGCAGCCAGGCGGAAAGGGACTTGGGGGTGCTGATCGACAGGAGGCTGAACATGAGCCAGCAGTGTGCTCAGGTAGCCAAGAAGGCCAATGGCATCCTGGCCTGCATCAGGAACAGTGTGGCCAGCAGGAGCAGGGAAGTGATCCTTCCCCTGTACTCTGCATTGGTGAGGCCACACCTTGAGTATTGTGTTCAGCTCTGGGCCCCTCAGTTCAGGAAGGACATTGAGGTGCTGGAGCGGGTCCAGAAAAGAGCAACGAGGCTGGTGAAGGGACTTGAGCACAAGTCCTATGAGGAGAGGCTGAGGGAGCTGGGGTTGTTTAGTCTGGAGAAGAGAAGGCTTAGAGGCGACCTCATCACTCTCTTCAACTACCTGAAGGGAGGTTATAGCCAGGCGGGAGTTGGTCTCTTCTCCCGGGCAACCAACAATAGGACAAGGGGACATGGGCTCAAGCTCTGCCAGGGGAGGTTTAGGTTGGATGTTAGGAAGAAATTCTTTACAGAGAGGGTTATCAGACATTGGAACGGCCTACCCAGAGAGGTGGTGGATTCACCATCCCTGGAGGTTTTTAAAAAGAGATTGGATGTGGCCCTTAGTGCCATGATATAGTAATTGGAGTTGGATCAGGGGTTGGACTTGATGATCTTGGAGGTCTCTTCCAACCCTACCTATTCTATGATTCTATGATTCTATGATTCTATGATTCTATGATGAAGATGGACCTTCTCTGGTGACTTAGCTGGGAATTGCACAGAATTCTATCCAGCCTGATGCTAAGCAATAAAACAAAGGATAGGAACAGGAACATCACAAAAAGCTATGAAATGACAATTCACAAGCATCATTTAAATCATTTGGAGGC